GGCCACTTTTAAACTTCTTGATCTATTTGCACCCATTTCTGCTCGGTAGAGCACTGTCGCCGTATTGCGTGTAAAGTCTCCGATGTATTGGTACAGTTGATATGGCGTTTGCCTCCTATCGTAACTGTTCGGGTTTCAATTCTCGGTAGCAGATTCGCACTGCTGATGAGTCCCAAATATATCCCTTACAGCTTTTAATATATTTTGACTTGAAATTCATATATTATATTATATTTTATTTATATATATTTTCACCGTTTTTGCAATGAGTTTTTCGATTATCCTTCGATAGCTTTTGCGCAAAATTCCCCAGGTTTTGTTGTGAAAAGGTTTTCGACAAACACTTGAATCTAATTTTCATTAGTGAAGTTTTCCCTCATTAAAGTGTTTTACGATCGACAAACGTAATAATCGATTGGCGCTAAGCCAGGTGAATATAGTACCGAGGTGAATATAGTACCGAGGGGTTAGAACAGACCAACGGAGTTCTAAATCTTTTCCTGTGTTATTCTTGCTGTTGTCATGGATGAAAACAATATTTTCCTTTCATTCACTGTGTACGCTGCCACTGCAATTCAGACACCAAATTATGTTAATGTACTTCAAACGTATTACTAGTAGCCAGGATGATACATTGGTCAATTTTAATTGTTTTTCAAAAGCAAAAATTAATTATGACTCAAACTATTAGATATTAAACACATATTAATCTACTTGTGCCTGTCAAAAGGGCAATTTTCGACATAACTTTTATGGACATGTTGCAGCATTTAGTATTTCAATGCGTTTTAAGAAATCCAAACGCAAATTACAAATTGGAAATGTGAAAATCAAACAAGTAAAATAATTTAGATATCTCGGATGTTTTTTAACAGAGGACAGAAAGATCGTCACTGAAATCCGAAAGCGCATTGGGATAGCGAAATGTGCCTGTCAGAAGCTAAGCAAAGTATTAAGAAATAGGAAAATTTCGTTAGAAACAAAGAAAAGTGTACTGAACATTACTTCCTATATGGTAGTAAATACTGGGCAATCTCCTCACAGATGCAGAAGAGACTTGAAACAACAGAAATGTTGTTCTGCAGAAGGATGTTGAGGATACCATGGCCCGAACATGTGGGCAACGATGAAGTTTTAGAGAAACTGGAAACAAAAAGGATACTTCCGCTTAGTATTAGAAATAGACAGTTGAAATTTCTAGGGAACATAACGAGGAAAGAGTGTTTGGAAAATTTGATACTCTCAAGACAGAATGAAAAGAGACAAAGGGAAACAACGTACAACCTACCTTGGATAGCGGGGCAAGGTTTGAGAGAGATGGCAAAAAGTCAAAATATATTAAGAGCTATAAGGGACAGGAATTTGCGGTGAGCAAGGGTCACTTACATCCTGAGTGGAGTGCGGCATATAAGCAAGTAGAGATATTGCTCCCTGGGTAGAACCTGCCAGTTAGTACTTGAACTAAGTACTTGAACAATATATGTAAGAATACACGTGCTATATATCTGCAGTAAATATGAATTCTATGAAGACTTCCCTATGTTTAACAGCCGGTGTTTCTATCTAAACGTATATCAATTGATGTGGCTAGCATTTTCTGTACGCGTGTGTGCGCATAGACTTAATGACGGCTTGCGGTTAGTCTGGTTTTTATATACAGCACTTGTTTCTCGGTACATTTGTTATTTATTAGGCTGTTCTTCAAGTGGTAATCAGGTCGTGTAAAATGAGCCCACTGTTTAGACCAATGGTTCCCAAACCTTTTTTCTGGCTGTTGCACCCGTGGCTTCCAGACCACATCACTAGAACCGTCCTCCCACACTTATAGGAAGATACTTCTTTCTTGGTATTAGACATATTGCAAATTCAAAGCAACAAGGAATCTAACACTGTAAACACATATACACTTTTTCCTTTTCTTGGATGTCATTAGAACATTCTTGGCTATATCACCAAACCACGAAGATAATGGTATTTCATTTTTGTTATGGGAACTTACCTATAACGATAATGGACTCTTCCTGACACTATAAATACTGCGCCTCTCAAGAGGTATAATGAATGAATGGTGTAACGAGCACCAGGTCATGACTGTTGAACTCTCTGCTTTGGCAGAGGAACCCGGACGAAGCTTTGCGAAGGGCAGGGTTTCGTCCGGGGAGGTAGATAGGGCCCTGAACCCGTCTAGGCGGGTTCAAAGGGTATATTTTTGGCCGAACCTACGGGCTCGGGAAACCCACGTTAAACTCGGCCTTTTGCCACATGCAACTCTCGTGAGGGGTGGCTAGATACTGAATGAATGGTGTAAAGAGTCGAGACAATATTATTTCACTCTAAACCAGGCAGAGAGTCATTACTAACAACTTCAACTTCTTGTACTATATTTCTGTTGTAATATATCTTTGTTATTTTACTCTTGTGTTCGTGTTGTTCTTCCTTGGTTCTAACCTTGGACCATAACTGTGGTGCGAGGATATTGCACCATAACAGTGGTGCGAGGATATTGGACCATAACAATTTTAGATAAATTTTTCCTGAACCGACCAAGCATAGAAATGAATACAATATGGGAACCAGTAATAAGGAGTGCCAGAGAAAAAAACAATAACAACAAAAATTGCAATATGAGCTCTCGTAAAAAAAATAAGCAATGATAACGACAAAAAATTGCGATATGAACCCTGGTTAAAAATGGTTGCTGAAGACATTAGGTTAATAAGTCCCAGAAATTCATACACAGGTGTCCTTAAGGACGCATGACACAGTGGATAAAAGCGTTAGTTAGATCCTGTGATAGGACTCAAAGAGTGTGAGTTCAATACCTGGTTAAGGCCGTGGAGAGAACTTGGATGGGGGGTGGGAATTAACAGGAGATAACTGATACCCATTAAACATGGCTCGTGGGACTAGAACAGCGAGTGAAATAAAGTTCAGTTCGATATTCCAACCATCTGAAGAAGGACGGAGCGTACAGCGGCCGAAACGCTGTGATAAATATGGCAACAAAGAGGAGAACGATAATCTGAATAGTGCAGATAATTTTTTGTTAAAAGAAAGCCTGATAGGTACTCAATCGCATATTTTGTTTTTATTTTTTATTTTAAGCTCCCGATAGTTTTTCAGTGTTTGGATACATATCTGCGAATGAGTGTTCGATAGAATTTGCTTTTTCATTGACATTTTCATCGTCAATGTGTTAGAAAGAGAAAAAAAATATATATCTCAGAATAAAAGAGTGGTATAAACTCTATAAGGGAAAGATGCCTTCCAGAAGCTAAGCAAAGTATTAAGGAACATAAAAAATTCGTTAGAGACAAAGAAAAGTGTACTGAACTGCTATGTAATATCTATCCTCCTATATGACACTGAATGCTGGACATTCTTCCTATAGAAGAAACTTCCAGGCAAGATAAATGTGGTTTTACAGACGGAGGCCAAGGATACCATGGATTATATACGTGAGCAACTATGAAGTTCTAATGAAAATGGGAAGAAAAACACACATAGTTAAAATCAAAAAGCTGATAACTAATGAAGAAAGACAGATTGGATAATTTGATACTCACAGAACAGATTGAAAAGATACCAAAATCAAACAAGCAGAAAAATGTATCTGGGATGCGATTTACCAGAGAACGGAAAATGTGACACTGAAAACAGTAGGCGCATTGGCATAGGGAAAGACGCCTTCCAAAAGCTAAGCAAAGTATTAACAAATAGGAAAATTTCGTTCAAAACTAAGTAAAAAGTACTGCAATCTGGGAAGTGTTTGAAAAGAGGTTGGAAAATACAACACTGAAATCCGAAGGCGCATTAGCATAGCGAAAGATGCCTTTCAAAAGCTAAGCAAAGTATTAACAAATAGGAAAATTTCGTTCGAAACTAAGTAAAAAGTACTGCAATCTGGGAAGTATTTGAACAGAGGTTGAAAAATGCAACACTGAAATCCGAATGCGCATTGGCATAGGGAAAGACGCCTTCCAAAAGCTAAGCAAAGTATTAACAAATTGGAAAATTTCGTTCGAAACTAAGTAAAAAGTACTGCAATCTGGGAAGTGTTTGAACAGAGGTTTGAAAATGCAACACTGAAATCCGAAGGCGCATTGGCATAGCGAAAAGATGCAAAGTTTAACAAAAAGGAAAATTTCGTTCGAAACAAAAAAGTACTATTAAGAAAAAAAACAACACTGAACGGAATGCGCATTGGCATACAAAGAAAAGAGTAAAAGCTGAACAGAAATATTAAAACAACAGGAAAATTTCAGAAACTTAAAAAGTACCAATCTGGGAAGTATTTGAACAGTCCTCCTATATGGCAAAAGACGCTCCAAAGCTGAACAAAATTTCTGTAAAAAGTACTGTAATTTCACAGATGAAAAAAGAGACTTGGAGCAACAGAAATGTAAGTTTCGAAAACAAGAAGGATGCTGAGAATACCGATGGACCGCAACTTGTGTCCTCCTAGAATGAACACTATAATCTCACAGATGAAAAAAAAACAGAAATGAAGTTCTACAGAAGGATGTTTATACTGCAAGAATTGGAAAATAAAAAAAGACATTTATACTTAACATTAGAAAGAAACAGTTGAATTTTCTCGGGAACGTAATGAGGAAAAAGGGCTTGGAAAATTGACATTTATTAAGAGCTACAAAGGCGATGAAATTGTGGAGAGCCATAATCACCAACGTTCCGTGGTTACACAACACATAGACGTTTACAAGTAATGGTTCTCGTGAAGAAAGTAAGTGGAACTTCCTTCTTACCAATGGAATACGAAGGCAATAAAGATGATTCAACCGCGTACGTATCACGGCGGGTCCTAGCTGTAAAAATCTGAATCTGAATCTTACTATTTACCCCATAACAGGGAGGAGAAGGGATGGATCCATACCTTTTCCAAGTGTATTTGCACGTAAGTGAATATAGTGAACACGATTGTAATTCGAACTTTCTTATTACAAGCTTTTATCCATTACATCACCCAAACATCCAAGATTATAGTACCTGGTATTCCCGAGTGGTACCCACCAAGGTACTGACCAGGTTCAACGTTGCTTAACCGGTGATCGTACGAGAACCGGTGTTTCAAAATGATATGGCCGTAAGTCTATCTCGTCTGAATAATTGCCATGGCAATAACGATAGAGTAGCAATAGGCTTGAGACATTTCGTTTATTGGAAAGGAGATATGGGGTTGAAAATGATTCAAGTTTGGCCAAAGTTCAACAGATATCGACTTGAGAATGTCAGAAACTTTAAATAAGGATTTTCATCCTGGAAAGTTGACATTATTAATCCAGACAAGAGACCACAGAAGATTAGCTTGGTGATTTTTTTTTCTTCTTTCGCGTTTACTTTTTGTTTTGGAAAACATTGGTATTTACGACGCTCCCTTGAGCGGATCCTTCGATGTTTGCCTTTGGGGAAAATACTGATTTAATAAACTTTATTTAATCGTCCTTATTTCCCACAACCGCCATAACAGCAAATAAAAACTGAAATCTAATTTGTTTAGCGACAAACCCGTAGAACACGTACACTTACATCACAAACATCTATACGAATATTTATATATATATACATACATATATATATGTGTGTGTGTCTGTGTGTGTGCATAACTATATTCGCGCTAATCTAATCAGTTCTTCCAATTCACGCAATGAACCTTGTGTGCTAAATTTAGTCCAAATCAATCTAATTGTTTTTGAATCATCTTGTGGTGTACACATTCAGAATTGCTTTCGCTTTTTTTACGTCACTGTGCGCGAAAATATATATACATAAAGAAGAAATAAGAAATGTTTATCGATGTAAAATGTTTCATTTTTATTAAAGCATCATCAGAAAATATATATATATTTATACATATAAATATGGAGTGTGTGTGTGTGTCTGTGAAAAATTTTTCAGACAATAGGAAAACTGTATTATTAGGCGACGCGTTTCGTCCAATGTAGACTTTTTCAAGACAAAAACGAAATGAATTTATTAAAAAAAAAACTATTAATACATTGAACGTAACGCGTCGGCTAATAATTCAGTTTTCCTATTGTCTTTTATCTTATATATATATATATATATATATATATATGAAAATAAAAAAATAGTGAACTCACACTATTTACACACACACACACACATATATATATATATATATGTGTAAATAGTGCACGCACACTATTTATATTGTTCGGACTGTAGTCCTCATCTTTGTCATATACACGACTTTTAGGTCGTTGTTCGTTCTGTTTTTTTTTTGTTTTTTTTTTCGGGGGATATGTTAAAATTTCAAAACGAACCCTTTATTTAGTCCAGGCTGTTCTCGTTCCACGGGGGCAGGTATTGAACTCGCAACTCTTTGGTTTAAGTCACTGGATTACTTCAACTAACGTTTTTATCAATTGGGCCATGAATATGACGACAACGTTGATAACAATAGCTCGAACAATATCAATAGTGTAAATAATTATAATACCTCATATATATATATATATATATATATATATATATATATATAGAGAGAGAGAGAGAGAGATAGATAGATAGATAGATAGATAGATAGATTAGATTAGATTAGGACGAAAATAGTTACACACACACACACACACACACACACATATATATATATAACTGATTATTCAAGGAATATAGCAAAATTTGAACCGTAATACATCTGATATGATCGCACTCCAAATTCACTAACCAACACTTACTTATCGCCCGGTTTACACTCCTTCCCAGTCTATTGAACAAGAGTAGTGGTTTATCCCTGGTTTGCAGTTTAGGTTTCGGTTAACCGGTTTCTTCCAAAATCTTCTCATTGTCTTTCACTCCCAGTAACTCTTTGCGTCTTAGTGACCTCATCGCATTGCTTGGGGCGAAATGCTTAAGAATATTAATCCACTAGCCTAGGGTATCGAAGCGTTTGTTAAAGCGTACATTGAATAAAGGGTTTAGTTCGTAACTTTGTGATAATACCAACAACAAAGATAAGGATATTAGCCTGAATAAAAATGGTATACGTTCGGAATAATAACTTGTTAGGAGATGAATTGCTAATCAAATCTGGATAACAGTGTTTAAATATTATTATTATTTATTTTTTAGATATAGATTTTAGTGATTGTTGGTGAGTTTGCCTTAAAATAATGTGTGTAGTACAAGGCTTTCAAGGCTGTTATCTTTTGAGACAGTGTCCATCATTCTGAGTATTGCTTTTTTCCACTTTCTTAAATCACCTCAATAAATATTAAAAATCAATTGATATAAACGAATTGTGCATGTTAAAATACTTTAAATGCTGCTATTTCCATCTGCCGTATTTGACGGCATATAAGGAGCACCTTTTTTTTTTTACTAAAAATATCTTTTTAAACAACCCCTGCGTCCTATATGCCGTATGTAGGTTTAAAATTCACAATAGTCAGCCGAAATTAGAGGAAGCATTATTTAACAACGATGATAGTATTGAAAATGAGTATCAGAGTTTTGATACCGAAGACGACGAATTTTATGGATTTGAAGATGAATAAAATTTTAATGGGAACTGTACTGTTTTGCTCAATTGTAATAATTGCTTGATTTTTTATTTTGTTTTCTTACCTTTGGATATAATAAAGTTTTTATAGGGCCGTGTTCTTTTTTTTATATTATTTTTCGTTTAATTGTAATCATCGCTTGTTTAACCAAAATATTACCTCATAAATACAGCTTAGGCTGTACCGTTTACTATTAATTTTACTAATTATTAATTTTTCTTGATTTTCTTGCTGAAATTGTGGTGCGTCTTATACACCCGTGCGTATTACATGCCATCAAATGCGGTAAATCAATGTTTTAAACACATATATTGGTGGAACTAAATCAAGGATTTTGGTGTGAAATATTACCTCGTCTCACAATTATGGAAAAACAATATATAATTTTTTATATATCAAGAACTATTTTAGGAAAATCAATGACAAAGTGGAAAAGGTTTTCGTGTGACGCGTTTCGTCTTCCAGGACTTCAGACTAAAGTTTATGTTTACGTTGATTCGACTACACATTTTTTTTACAGTAAAGTTCACCCTGTACAAGGCCAATATCGACGGTCATATTAACAGGCAGATAGGAGGGGAACGGTAAACTTGAACAGGTTAAGCTTGTAGTGATCGGGTAACCATCCTCTTGGGAGTGGCTTCCACATAGCAGCGGTTTGCTGGAAGAAGCCGTACGAGTGGAACTTCTCACCGATGAAATACGGAGAGAATGTAGGTGTTTTGGTACAATGTAAGCGGCATCGCGGGTCCTAGCTGTGAAGATTAGGACTGTAGGAACAAAGGAAAGTAGTTCGTCCGAGCACTTTCTATGGAAGTAGCGATTGAGCAGTGGGAGGCTTGCCATACTACGCCAGCGAGAGAGAAAGAGGTTACAGGGTGGAAAATAATTCGTCACCACAAGAACTTGGGGACGCTTTTGAAACAGGAAAATAAGAACTGAGCAACTCCCGCCTAAATGTGACAATAGTATTCTATTTTAACCCTGAGCTAGCGCTTGAATGAGGAATGAGATACTTAATGGAGCAGTACAGGGAACCGATCATTTTTTCCTGCATCCATGCGCATGAATTTCTTCATTTCTTTTATTTTTACAATGTACAAGAGTTAAACAAATTTTGTATAGCGTTTGCAGATAATGAAATCGGAAATAAGCATAAAATCTCCCTTTAAAAAAAATGAATTTTCTCATTTTTTTTTACATGTCGCGCATGCGTAGTCACGCATCCTTTCCCTGCCGTTTGAGGGTTAAGGTGAATGGTAAAACTTCCATTACAACTGAAAGATGCAACGAGAAACGCAATGTTTGTAAGAAAATATATTCTATCAGAAACGCGCAACCATTCCCTGCAGTTTAAGGGTTTAATAAACATTTTAGCTTGTCCATAAATTAATGACATTTTTTAAGAAAAAAATTGCATTTATATTTCTATGCAAAAAAAAAAATATATATATATATATATATATATATATATATATATATACTGTAATTTCGAACTGAACGGAACCTTATTTCCTCCACCGGGGTAGATTGTCCTTCCGGGTGTCTCAGTTATTTCCTCAAGGACACATGACCCAGTGGATGAAGGCGTTGGTTCGATCCAGTAACTAGACCAACATTGTCGTGAGTTCAATACCAGGATACAGCAGTGATGAACCAAAACTTGGAGAGTTGAGTTAAAGGGAAATAACTGAAACATCCGGAAGTGGCATGGCACGTGGAACTAGAACAGTATACCACGAGAGACGAAATAAATGGTTCGGCTCGAAATTGCAGTCACCTGAAGAAGGCCGGAGCGTACAACGATCGAAACGTTGTGAATATGACAATGAAGATGAGGATAACAATCCGAATAATGTAAATCATGTAAATAATCAGCAACAGTATAATGTCTTGCAACAATTTGGAAACCACATATGAAAATCATGAACGCATGATTTTTTTTTACATTTTAAAATATTGTATTATTTTATTGTGTGCAAAAATTAGCATGTTGCTCAACTGCTTTCTCGAGAGCCTGTACTTTATAATGCTCCATAAGTTTTCTATGGGGTTGAGGTCAGGAGATTGGGGCGGCCATGTCATGACACTCACCTGCTTCTCATCAAAGTATTCCTTCATCAATTTTGATTTGTGACAGGGAACATTATCCTGCATAAAAAATGAGCTTATGGGGTCGATTTGCACCCTTTCAGCTGAAGGGAGCAGACAAGACTCTAAAATTCTCTTGTACTGCTCGCTCCTGAGGGTCTTTTCAATAGGTTTTAAGAAACCAGTTCCATGAAAAGAAAAAGCATCCTCAGAACATTATACTGAACGGATGCTTGACAGTACTTACTGCTAAATTCAAAGAGCTTTCAAAGCTTCTTCTTCAGATTTTAGATCACTTATCCTTTGAATTTAGCTCAACTTTCGTTTCATCGGAGAAGAGAACATTTAGTAAAAAAAATCAGGTGAGTCACTTTTATCGAACAGCACTGTATATTAAAAACTGAGCTATCTAAATGAATCCTGTAAGTTAAAATCGTCTTTCTAAATGCTGCTATTTTAAACTAAATCATTGT